AAAATATTATTTTAAATGTTAGTTTAAAAGAGAATGAATGAAATTAATGATAACGAGAAGCGATTAGTGAATCGGTGAAGAACAGTGAGGTATCAGCCTAAAGGTTTTTCGGGATGAATATGTTTAATTTATTCTTCTTATTTAATTTATTCGTAAACATAACGTCAACAACAAGTAATTTATTCCAGTAAATATTAAATGAAAATTTTGGCCAAATGTTAGTTTTACAAATAGTTTTAAGGAATTTCGACCATTTAGACGATTGCTTTTTATTGTTTTATTATCACATTCTCAAACCCTAAATTTTAGTCGACTTTAGTAAATACAAAAATGATTTTTTTTTAATTTTCAGATTTTATTTAATTTTTATCGAATGCAGCAACATTCATAATTCTAATTAAGCTGACTAAAGAAACAAATTTTGAATTTTGATGCAAAAATTGTGCTTACACAGCTTCAATTAATTTCCATTCACAACTTCTCGTTATCATGAGTTAATTTACGAAAAAGCACGGTGCTAAATCTAAAAAAAGCTTTGCGATGGTTTTATGTATTTCAGTATGAAACAAATTTATTCGAATTTATTTCTAATTATTATCATTACTAGAATTCTAGATGAATTTTTTAAAAGCGTTGAACATAATTAATGCATTTTAATAATTGAAATTAATTTTGAGGTTTATAATCATTCAGATAACGAATGTTACCTATGGAGCATAGCTGATGTGCAGGATATCTTAAAACCAGCTCATCAAAAGGTTCTCTCCTAATTTTTATCTCCTCCTAATATCGCCATTATCTTCACTGCTCATTTTTTTAAAAAATACAAGTTTAGTTCATGATTATAAGAAAGTTTATGAATTTCATGCAGTGATTTCATGAAAATTATATATCATTTTAGTATAGCGATGCTTTGAATAATGCTAGCAATGCGATGATTGAATTATTGGAATTTTTTCAAAAATGAGAGTTAGAAAAGCATGATGAATGGGATAAATTGACGAGTCGTAGTAATTGTTTATTGTTTACTAAAAAATTGATATTGGGAAAATTTTTTACACAAAAGTAATTAATTTTTTTTAGAATTAGAAAAAGTTTTATTTTGATTATTTTAATTGAAAATGCAAAAAATCATTTTCAAATCAAATCAAAATATTTAATTAACAACGATAAGCAATTCACTATTCACTAATATCTTTTTTAGGTTTATTTCACAGATTTTTTTAGGTGATTTACAATATTGCGATGGATTATCTTGTTGACGAATACTGGAAAAAACGTAGAGAATATGCCGCTCTTCAATGAAAATATTTCGTCAGTGCGCAAACTGTAAACTCTCACGCCATTTGTTGATATCGTTCATGTGAGATTTAGAGATTTATCTATGTTTCCGGTAAACTTTTCTTGTTCCTACAAGTAAAATTACAAAAATAATAAAAAAATTGTATTTAGTTGCAAGTAAGTCGATCGTTAAATATTTTAGTATTCACTGAATAATCGAATCGGTATCGATAATCGAGACTTTCTAATTTGTCGAATGCTCCGCAATGAAGTTTTTGTGGCCGCTCGAAGCTTTGAAATGGATGATCTGAATATTGAATCGAGGCAAATAAGGTAAGAAATGATGTTCAGAAAAAAAATTTTTGAAAAATTTACAAAATTTTGTAAATTTTTGATTCTAAAGAAAGCATTTCTTTATAATTATCATTTAAACTTTTCCTAATCTTTGTTTACTCCTTTTTCTGAATTTTCCATTTTACTACTTTCGTAAATCTTTTCTCTTTTTTTAATGGGAATTTTGTTTTAAAAATGTTTTTCTTAAAAAGGGCGAAATTCTCGGTGGTGCTCTATTTCGTGTCGATTCGGGGGCTCCTTTCAAGAAAACAGCAATCGACTATCTTTATTGCGTTAATTTTAATGAAAACAATATGACCGAAGAACTAACGATAGAATATTACCGAAATATATGATCGATGATATCGAATTTACGGCGAAACAAATGGAAAATATTAAGAAATCATTGAAAATTAAATCGACCAGTAAGGAAGACTATATAAATATTTCAGTATTTTCTAAATATTTCAGTATTTCTCGTTTACATTTGCTTTTTTTCTTTCTTTTTCAACGAATTTTAACGTATTTTTACTGATTTTTATTTTATATTTCACAGTTATGTAATTAACTACTCTTCCGATTTATATTTTCAGGATTTTGTAAAAAACCTAATAAATTAATAAATTTGCTTATCTATTTGCAAATAAAGGACTTTTATAAATTTTATAATTTTATTTTTTAATAATTTTATTTCTACCATTTACTACGGTGACAGTGTTTGGTTCCCATCTCCAGCAGCACTAGATCCCTCATTAAAAAATTCAGCTGATGCTGGCCGACCACTTTCTGGTATAAAGATTCTCTGGTGAAACTTTCAGATTATACTATTTAAATTACTAGTAGCCAGCCAGCTGATCGTACCAAACCAAGAATTATGAGCGTTAACAACCATTTTATTTGTTTTTCTATTCATCTATTTTTGCGATTATTTTCTAAAGAGTATATAATTCTTTAATGAAAATTTTTTTGCGAAACGATCGTTCTTTATTAAAATTTAAATGAATTTTGTTTTTTGTACAAATTTGCTCTTTTGTTTTGTAAAAATTTTTCAATAAATTTCGATAAAAAAATTCGGCATATTTCATAAAATGTACGAATATCAAATTTCCACATATTCACTTCAGTTTTTCTACAGAAAATTTTTTTTAACTTTTAATAAAAATTTTTTACTTAAAATTTATTGCATATTGAATACTTTAATTTCGTGTATATTTTGATTCATAGAAAATTTATTTTATTTCAAAAGCAGCTTGTTCCATAATTCAGAAAAATTTTTAAATATTTTAACATGTTGCACTCAACAATTTTTTCGCATGTTTGAATTTATTTTTCCGGCCCATTTCTTATATTATAAGCTATAATTAAAGTGAAAGTGAAAATAAATTTATTAAACTTCGATTGCCTAGAAACGACTCTAAGAAAATTTGCTTTGCTTAACTGCAGACTTGTTTTTTTCGTGAAATAGCTATAATTTTTATTACAGAAATAATAAATTTATCAATGCTATTTAAATCACAAGGGCAAATGATACTTAAAAATATAATAAATATGTAGTTATTCATACAAAACTATGCGCTTCAATTCAGTTCGACTTATCAAAACATTTGATTTGAAAAAATCTAAACTGCTTTTTATATTTGCTTAGCCAAAATAACGATCAGTTTTCTATTTAATAAGAATGATAATGTGAAAATGGCGTTTAATTATAAAGATTAATAGATTTTTAGAATATTTCAATATGAAATTAATTAAATTATTTAATTAAAAATTTTAATTTTGACAAAAATTTTCTTGAAAATTCTTGATGAATTCTTAATCTAAGCATTTCAGATGAACATTTATTATTAATATAGAAGGGAGATTTACTTTTATGTTTGATAAAAAATTTAACAAACTTACTCGAAAAATCCACTAAAATTAATGCAAATAAATGGAACTGATAAATCCTGGTTCGCAAAAAATAATTGGAAATTAGCCAAAAGTATTTTTATTTCAAAATAATTTTGTTAAAAAAACTTCTGAGATCAAAAGAAATTTGAAACTTACAAAACAATGAAAATATGCATGTGTATGCATATATATATATATATATATATATGTATATATATGTGATAAAAAAACAGGCCAGTTCTTCAATTCTGGCTAGGCCCAATAAATTATGCCAAGGAACCACTAGATTATAGAAATATAGGTGAATCAGTAGCGAACACGGAATTTTTAGAAACAGATTTACTCTTAAGAGCGGAACCACACCATAGGCGCTCAGAAGTGAAACCCACCGTTCTTATCTCAGATTTCGTACATTTAATATAAGAACAAAGTAACAATGCTTTATGAAGATAATAGCAATATGTAAAAAGTAAATATGATTAATAAAAATGAAAAGACATCAATAAAATAACAAAGATATTTTTCAATATTTTTGTTGGTCTATGTTCGAAATTATAAATTGGTTACTAAAAATTTGAAAAAGGAAATATTTCGAATAAATTAAATGATTTCCTAAAAAAAAATCGTCTAATATCGAAAAAGATTGAATTTCCTTCAGTGAAAAATTGACAAAAATATAAATTCAATGAATCGTTAAGGAAGTTTATAAATTTTAAAATATTTTAAATCTTTTTTTTCATATGATTGACAATGTTAAATATTTTTATTGGCACATATTAATAGATTTTCTTAAAAATTATTATCCACAGTAAATTTAAACAAACATTAATATTGAAATAAAAGAATTATTTACTTTTAATTTTGGACTGCTTTGAAAAATACTTTAAAGCGAATCATTGGCATTTGAAGATAGTGGAATTCGAGATGGAGTATTCGCTAGTAAATTTAAATCCGACGGCTGCTGACGAATTCGATTTGAATTTGGATATGACGTTATACTTAGAAGCGAACTATTTTTTGTAAGAAATGAATAACTTAACTTCTTTCGATCTGTTATACAACTTGTTTTTTTGCAGCAAAGTACCGACGAAATCCACAGCCTTAACGTTGCGAAGAATTTCTTCCTTAATATAAAATTCTTTTAAAGATTATCACTTTGATAATCCATTAAATGATTGATTATCATTTTATTTCCGCGCTTGCATACATACATACCTGCATGCTTGCTTGCTTGTCTCCAATAATGATTAAATAATGGAAATCAATGAAAAATTTTTCAAAAGTTATTTCATCATGAAATATGAAATACAAATAGTAAATTATGGTTTGTGTTTCCTTATAAAAACCAAATTTTAATTATTATCGCCATAAATAACTCAAATTTTTCAATGTTCTTGGAACTCACAAATTTACGAAAAATTCATAATTTTAGCCAATTAAATAATTTATAAATAATATTTTTAATTTCTTTCCTTCTTTTTCTATTTTCTATTTAATTAGCTGATTATGTAAAAGTTAAAAAAATACCTGAAAGTGGCACTTGTTAAACAAAATAAAACAACATTTAGCATTTTCCCTGTCAATACAAGGCAATTCGTTATCGATGAAATATCCGCGAATATTTTAGTTTTTGCATCACTAACAAGCCTTTCATATAAAAATAATAAAGCTGATGGCATTTGGGTAATTGAAAAACAAGAAATTATAGCAACTGCAGTGATCGTTAATTTCCTCTCTTTTTCATGAACATTTCCTCCATACGTTGCGGAATTGGACGAAATTTTTGTTAACTCCTGCAATTTTTCTTTCAACCACTTATAATAAATGCACCGAAAAAAGAACTAATCCTTACAGTTTTAATTAAGAATACTTTGATCTCAGTCATCAATAACCTGCTTTTCTCCTGCTAATAACCAAATTTTGCCCAAATCTAATGATGCCAGTTTAAGATGCTTTCAGTTAATAATATGAATTAAAACATAGGAGATAATAAATTAATCGAATCTAATTAAGTTACAGGCACCTATTTTTTTTCTAAGAGCGCCAACCATTTCTGGTTTTGACCCACTCTGATTTGCTGGTTTATCGGGCTAGACAAATTTTGCAGAGGAGTCACAAGGCGATGGAAATACAAATAAGCCACCAGCATCATCCGGAATTCCGACTAGCTTATTCCCTGGTCGAAGTATGACCCTGGTATCGGTGCAAATAAGAACCACTGAATTATTTCTATTCTATTTCTCAACACATCTATTTATTGAAAATAATTTTTAAAAATTTAAAAAAGTAGAAAAAAGGCTGAAGCGTATGAAAAAAATGCTCGAAGCAGAAATTTCTTAGTTACAAAGGTGAATTTTTCATATAAAATTTCATAGTTATATAAAAAGCGAATTGAACAATTTCGGAAATTGAAAACTTGTAAAATCTTAAAAATTTTAGAAACGAACCTCAGTGTTTCTCATTCGCAGCAATCTAATTAAGGAAATATTAAAAAATGAAACAATGAAAATTGGAATAATAACTCCGAGAAGTGCATTAGCTATTGTACTTCCATTAACATATGAAATTAATGTGCTTGTTGGCTGATTTATTGTGCCCATTAACGTCCAATTCGATGACTTTGGTAAGCACTTAACATATATTTGACTCATATTACATACCCATACATGTAGGCATTTATACGAAAAATGGTGATAGCTAAAATATCGATACTAATTCAGTTGATGATGATGATGAATAATTTGTACCAATATTAATAGAAATGAAATATATTATGAGAAAAATATATTTTTAAAAAAAAAATTTTATGAAACTGATTGGTTTTAATTAATAATTCTAATGAACATATTTAGCAAATTATAAAAAATTAAAGCTAACCTGGTTAGTAGGAATGTAAAAACAAATATAGCGCTCAATATTATGATGCAGTGAATACTCTAAATAATTCATTTGTTCATTACTGTAATTTTATAAAATCTTTTCACTTTTTACCTTTTCACCTTCTTCAGAGAAAGTGCCATTAAGTATCAAATTGGGTTGGTGCTGCGGACCAATCCATTTTCAAGTCTCCAATCAACTATGGTGAAATGATTTCTGCCTAATTAATATACAATAGTAAATTAACCAATAATTAAACAGAAATGGTGGTTGCTATGCAAAAAGAAAATATTTTGTTTTAAAATAAGATTAAAAATATTCAGAAGAAATATTTATAAATTATTATTTTTTTCTTTTTTTTAGCTTTACAAGTAAGCCATTGAAAAAAGTTTCTTAATGCCATTTTTCACAATTAATGCCGTTTTCAAAATTAACTTTAATTTAGAGTTTCTTAGAATTTATTCGTCAAAAATATTTAATGCTTATAAGAGTTAAAATAAAGTCTCGTAAATATAGAAAATCATTTTTTTACAGAACTGAATAAATGAATTATTTAATTAACAAATGAACAAATGAATAAAAAAGTGCAACTTACTCGGTAGGGTTTAAGCGATCGAAATGGGAATTTTATTATGAGAAGGCGTTCAATTGAAACAGCTAACACTATCCTACAAGGTATTAATTTTTTTACTTTAATCTAATTAAATTACTAACGTTTTCTTATAAACATTCATTTGAATATTTTGTAGAAAAAATTTTTCCACAAAAAATTTTTTCGGCACTAAAAAAAGCAGAAAATTAGTCAACAAAAGCCTTTAAAAAAATGTGTAATAATTTGTTTTATTAATATTTTGTATGGGCGAAAGAGGTGATTATCAATCGAACATAAAATTGGTGACTCGTTCGTTATAAAGCTATAATTTAGCCGACGTTGAGAGATTTCAGCTAATAAATAATCAATCGTCAGCATTTTCACTAAAAAATATTCCATTTTCACTTCACCCACTTCCAAAAATGTCATTAAGTTTTTCATTACTCAAATAAAATATTTTCAATCCTCAATCAATTTTGAAATTTCAAATTTAAATTACTATCGTTTTTAGAAATAAAAATTGATATACCAGATAGCAGCGCATGAAAACCAATTAGCAGCTGCAGCCAAGTGAATTTTAACTGTTGCGAAAAAAATTCGAAATGAATTATTCGTATAAAATGTCGGAAATGCAGCAAAGCTTGTCGGTAGCATAAAGAAAAATACTGACATATCAGAGAACGCTAATGCAGCCAGTAGATGATTTGCACTGCAAAAAATTAAATTTTCGTTACAACAAGATCGTCCTCCATTTGAATTTATTTTATTATATTTTTTGAATAAAATTTTTATTTTTCATGAATTCTTTATAAAATTTATAAAAAATGATTGATTTGAAAGCGAATTCAACGTTTTTTTTCTATTAAAAATTCAACGAAAAGGTGATTTATTTGAAAGAGAAAATTTAAGAATCATTAAAGGAAAAGCGTTGGAGAAGCATTTTTCATGATAAATTATTCACAAGGGAAATGACTATTACAAATATATTTTTAAAATATTTGTGATTAATATGTCTAACAAAAGAAAAAATATAAGATAAAATATAAGAAATATAAGATAAAATTGATTTGATTGAATCGAATCGATTGGAGAATTATCGCTCGTGAAACTGGAAAAAAATTTGGGGAAGGAGTTTTGGTTCTTATGGAAGTAAAAAATAAAATCTTTTATACGACCAAAATGTTCAAATTTTTTTTACCCAGAAAATGTTTCATATTTCCTTCAAAAGCCAAAAAAATGTTTCATCTGGCAAATTCGACTTTAAAGTCTTGGCAATTTTAACTTGAGAATTAATAATGAATTAATAATGAATTAATAATGATTTCCGTTTCATGTTTGTTTTTCTGGCTGAGTAAATGAAAATGAGTTCTTCAGCTCAGCCCTTAATATTATATTTCTTTTATTATTCGTCACTTATACAATTTTTCTTTTTTCGCTTTTGTTTAACAAATTTCTTTCCTCGATGATTTATTCATTGAAACTCCACTCAATTTTGACTGATGATAGTGCAGTGATTATTTACTTATTTCTTGCTCACTCTTTTATTTTGAAAAAAGTTGATAAGTAAATAGGTGACTTCTGGTTATATTCGCTCCACTGCTTTAGGAATTTTTGACAGAAGTGAAAGTGGCTTGCCAAAAAAAAAATTTCTTTTATTTTAATGGTACGTTTATTGCAGTTCGAGGATGGACGCAGCGAGATGATAATCGCAGCAATTCCGTTATTCTATCTCCAATTGTTAATGATAAGACTTTTAAAAAAAATCGAAACAAGAGAAAATTGTTGCTTAAAAAAATTGCAATATAAAAACTAAAAAGAAATATAAAAAGTTAAGAATTATTATTAATTATTATTACTTTGATAAAAAGTATAGTAAAAGTATTGATATGACTTTTTAAATTCAATACTCCCAGCTAATTCACCATTTGTTCATTGAAAATTCATTTCGTTATTGATATCCTTTTTAGTGATTGGCCTTTTCTGCGTCGATTCCGGATTAAAAGACAATTTATCCAGAATTTTGCTCAATTATCTCCAAATATGACAGAAAATAATGAAAGATCTATTTTTCTTTTCTTGTAATATGGCTTATTTATTTCTTAGGAATTTTTCTCAAATTTATATAATATGAAAGAATAGATGGGTAGTCCCACTTTTAAAGAAGGCTTTCAAGGGCAGGTTTATTTTTTCCAGGAACTGAACTCATATTGCTTGGTCGTGATGGAAATTTGTCTCTTCATTCGGCCATATTATTCCAATGCAATTTTTATAAAAATTTTCATTTTCTTCTTACTGCTTTTATGATAGCACCTTTTTTTAATTTTTCTTTTTGTTAATGTACAGAATTTAATAAAAATTAGGTAAAACAAAAATATATATTGGCTTATAGGAAAAAGTATTTTACCGATTTCTCATATGTGGGCTGAGGAGAACAGAGAGTGTCAAACTGTTTCCAATAACAGTAACAATAAATTGAATCGGGAATGACACCTGAAATAACATTTACTCATTATTTTATTCAGCAATTATTCATTCTAATATTTATTTTGCAAAATTTATTTGTTTCATTCATTCTTTTTATATTTTTTGTATTTGTAACGATATTTTTTATATTTGTAACGACAATTTTCAAATAAAAATTAATTTAAAGGAATTCTTCGAATAGTTGTACTTTTTAATATTTGCACTATGAATGCAATTTAATTGCCTTTAGTAAAAGTAAAACAAACATGTAAAAAATACATTTGTCACATTATCAAATGCAAAATAAATTTAATAATTCAAAGTATTAATTTTAATGTTGAAGTTTGTTCAACAACAATATAAAAAGATGGATAAATAACAAATATACTTCAAAACTTAATTTAAAATTAAGTTTTATTAAAAATTCGAAATAATTATTAGAATTTTTTTAGTTAAAAGTGTGACCAAAAAGAGCGGCTTTTTTCAATTTACAATTAGAAATAAACTTTGAGTTACTAAATTTTTAAAATATAAAGTAAATTAGTAAAATATTCACAAAATAAATTCTGATTTATGTTGAATTAAGGGCTCAAAGAATGGATCAAAATAATTCCTTACAAATGTAGAATGTAAAAATGTAGAAAACGAAGCAAGAGCGCTCACCATTTCTGGTTTGCCTAGCTTCCCTGACTGTTAATATATTTAAAAATTTTTCTTAGGAAATCAATTGAAGATAGAAATAAAAAGTGAGTCACCAACATTACCCGATTTTTTTGATAGCCTTTTGATCCTATTCCCGAATAAAGGTTTTGTAGTTTTGGATCTCATGTGTGGGCTAAAGGTAGGTGAAAGTTGAGGAGAGAATCGACACGAATTTCCTCCAGGAATTTATTAAAAGTAATTGATTAAATTCATTGTTGTGCTGCTTTATCTATTATTGAAAATACTGCTTCCATATTCAACACAGTTCTTTCATATAAATACTGCATTAAGAGTAGAACGGCTGAGTGAGTTGTTGCTATCATTTTGGTGCACGGATATTGTGATTCAACCTGTAGTAAATTTATCATTTAAAAATCCGAATGATGGCGATTCAAACTATTATCAAATGATCGCCTGGTGAAATTCGCTTCGTCCAGCAAGTCACCAGAACGAATTAACCAGAAATGTTGAGCCCTCTTAGATTGCTTTATTATTACATTAAATCAAACGCTTTGTTTACCTTTGTTTACAAAAAAAGAAGGAATTTTGGCCAATTTAAAAAAACAAAAACATCAATGAAAGAGAGGACCGAATAATGGAAAGGCAAATGCAATAAATTTTTATTATGATTATTTTTTAAAAGATTGAATTTTAATATTTTTTTAACGAATTTCCTCTAAGATTTTGTTCCAATTTAAAATTCTATAATTTCACATTGAATTTTTCCTTCTCGAAACCGTAAAAATTTTTCGTACGAAATATTCATTATTTAATTATCAATTTCAATTCTAATTATTCATATTTACTTATTTTTTTGAAATCAAAAGTTTGCGCTTTGTTTGCGCATTCGAGAAACTATAAATGAATTGGAGAATAATTTAGCACTGAAAATTCGCAAATAATCAAACCTCAAGATAGAGAAACTATATTTGAATTCATTTTAGTTTGTCTCATGAGGTATATTTTGGAAATTTCTCTGAAAAAGTGGCAAAAGCACCCAAAAATATTTGCAAAAATAAAAGGATGGTTAGTGTTCACTATTTTTGGTTAGTATCACTGGTTAGAAATTTTCACCATTGGATTTTTCATATTGCACCCGTTGCGTTAGCTGAAACAACTGAATCACTGACTCTCAGCATGACAATCTAAGTATTTTCCAGCGATATTTAACTTATTTCTCATAAAATTTCGTTCTTTTTCAGTGAAATTTTTTAAAATTTCAAAACAAAATTGCGAAATAACTGATTTTGAAATATTTTTTAAATTAATCTTTAATTTTTTTTTTGATTTTGATCTTTATTCAGTCGAATTTAATCTATAAAATGACTTTAGTTTTAGGGGCATAAAACAATTAAAAACTTACATAAATTTAGAATGAAAACAAGAATCGTCGAGAACATTCGTTATGGCACTGAACAGAATTTCGCTATTCTCTGAATGAGAAGAATAAAAAAAATATTTTTAAATTCTTTTAAAATCTCTTAAAAGAATTCAATAATAATAATTAATAATAATAATAATAATTAATAATAATAATAAAATAATAATAATAATACTAATAATAATAATAATAACAGAAGGGAGAAATAACTAAAATATCGTAATTTAATGAGCGAATCTTATTTTGAATATCTAAGCATTTAAGCATAAAAAATTCTTTAAGAATTAAAAAATTGATTCTGCCGAACTGCCGATATCTGCCGAACTAATCAAAATCTGTTCATCAGAAGCCTTACTTTCTTACTACACGTTTATACGTTTGTACTCGCTGATCAAGGTTTTTTTTCATGAGGAATTTAATTAATTTTATCATGCAAAAGAGATAAATTCCCTGAGCAAATTTCGATAAGATGCTAAGGAAATAATCTAATTAAATTGTTTTGCATTAAATAATATATTACGTTATTCGTTTGTTGTGCTTGTTTAATCTTGAAATGTTTCCATTGAAAAACTATGAAAATAGATTTTGCTATTGCATAATCCATTTAAAAATAATTTACAAAGAATTATTGTCTTTGCTTTAAAAAAAACGAAAATATATCAAAAAATGAGGAAAAAAGTGGCAAAATTTTATATTTGTTTTCTTTTTTTATTACGGCGATTAATCAAAATAATTTTCGAGGGAAAACTGACAAAAACATTAACCAAAAAATAACAATACGCTTATTTCGACAATATTTAACAATAATTTTCAGTGAATTTTAAGTTTTTCGCTTAATCGTTGTCACCAAATACATTGTTATTTCATTTCTTTTCAAAATGTTTTTCATTTTTTTCATTTTTAATGCATTTTTCAAATGCATTTAATTTGAATGATATTGGCATTTTTCTGTTAAATAAAGGTTTATTTTAAAAAAATAGTTGAATACTGCGACACTGAAAATAAAGTAAATAAAATCGAATTGCCATGAAACATTCTTTCTTGTCAAACAAAGGAACAACCAAAAGTGCTAATACAATAAAAATTTTATAAAAGCACAACCACACGCGCAGAAATACAATGCATCACCAATCTTTAATGGATGATGATCGTTCACCACTTTTTTATTATTTCTTAATACTTTGTGATTTTTGTTTTCAGCACTGGTTGAAAAAAGATAAGAAAAAGAAAAGAATTTAGAAATCAAAGATGGAAAATAAATGTTCATTTTGTTTATCGTTTTTTAAAAACCACGATTTCTATGGCCGGCAAAAGAGTGCTGCTGCTGACGACTTATTTATTCTTCTATTGCCAGTTATCACACTGGCGAAAATTTCCTGCAGCTAGCGGAAAAGCGGCCTAACCAGAAATGGTGAGCCCTAAACATTTTAGCCAATAACCAACATTTAGCTTGGAGAAAATTTTTTCATTTCCTAGATTATATTTAATCTGAATTAGTAATTCTTGATTTTATGCGACTTCAATAATCATACAATTTATTACAGTGTGGTGTGAGGTTTGTGGTAATATTGTGGTATATTAGGATTTACGGTCAATGCAAAAACTTATGTCGCGTTTTTTCAAATAAAGTTACTCCGATGGAAAATTGCATTAAACTCATTCAAAATTAATAAAAAAGCAAATACTAAATATTAAATACTTGAAAATATTATAAATTTTCAAGGTTCCTAATTAATGGATGAATATGTATAATAAAGGACGACGAATCACATAAAATTGAGCTAAACTGTGGAAAAAAAGGATGAAACAAACCATTACATCCAAAAATTATTTATTTGATCTATTTAATTTATTTAAAATTATTTATCTGAGTTTTCAAAAAAAATTATTCAAATGAATTTGCAAAGTCAAAAAAATTGTATGAAATTTTAAATTATAGGGAATTTTCATTTATTTTCAATTTTTAATCTGCAGTAAATAGAAACGATTGATAAGTTATTTCATCGGCTTTTTTTTCAAATAATTAAGATTGAGAAAATTCGTTTCTGGATTTGTGAAAACCTAAAAATAGAATTTCTAATTTCTTTTTGGCCAACTTTAAGACCAATTTCGATTAGGAATTCTACCAAGAAGGATATATGATATACTTAAATTTTTTACATCGCCAATGAGTTCAGCCGCGTCTCAAAAATAATTAAGTCGAATGAGCAAAAAAAGTAACATCTGACTATTCGGCTGATTACAATTAATAAAACGAGTTTTGATCTTCGAAATAATTTCGAGTATTTTTGGCAGAATAATGCAGATTTTATGGATTTTTCTAATAAATTGTTTTTCCAAATGAAAAGAAAAAAAAGTAAATGGTGTGAATGAATGAATGAATGAATGAATGAATGAGAATGAATGAATAAATGAATGAATGATGAATGAATGAATGAATAAATGAATGAGAATGAATGAGAAATATACCTGGTACAAAATATTATCCACAGCAGCGTTTAATCTTAGGCTTTTCAAGCATTTGGACTGATACATGTTTATTTAAATAGCACAGCGCAGTTGAACGAAGATGAAGAAAAGTTTGGTATGAAATACTTGTGTATGCAGGCAGGCTTCACATAAAGGCGACTCCGCCCTGAGGCAAAAATAAAATAAGCTATCCATTAATATAAGCTATCCATTATCTTCATAGCAGATCAAAAAACTTTATTCAAAACTATCGATAGAATGTTAACTCAATCATGCATTTAAAGCCCTTGTTTAGTGATATTATTAGCATAGAATTTCATACCGAAATTTGAAAATTTTCGAATACTTTTAAAAGTTTTAAATAATGAAAATAAAGAAATGAGTGAGGTCATTTGCGTTCTTATTTTCCATTAATATCTCTGAGATTTGAGGCTTTAAATTTTTGAGGCTTTAAGAAAAAATCTAAAGTTTCGAAACTATGGAATTT